ATATGTCAAGCTATTATTAAAAAAAATTTCTCACCAATAAAATATATGATGTTAGCTTTAAGGTTTTTTTTTTTTTTTTTTTTTTTTTTTTTTTTTTTTTTTTTTTTTTAAAAAAAGTTTTTTCTACTTAGCTTATTTTTTGGAAGTACATTATAATTTTTTTTTTTTTTGCGAATAAATTAATTTATTTATAAAAAGACATACGACATGTACATTGTATAGTTTTATTGGGAATAACATGCATCATTAATATAATATAATGTACACTATTTTAAAATATTTTCAGCATAACCAATCAAAAATATATTTTTTTTCTCAATTGAAGTTTTAATAATATTTGCCTTATTATTTCATTTTTCTTATATGCATTGCATTTGTTTATTCCATATGAGTTGCCTCATTTTATATGATATTACAAATTAATTATGGGAAAAAAATTTATTACTACCGTGCATCATAAAGGCACTAATCTAGTGAACAAATATAATAGAGTTTGTAAAAATAAATTTGATTAGTTTAAAATTTAAGTTTAACAAAAATAATTTATTTTAAGAAAAATAAGGTAAAGAGAACAATTGTCAAAAAAAAAATAATAAAAAATTAAAGAGAACAGACTTTAGTCATTTTCCAAGGCATATGAGCAAATACTTAAAAAATCAAGTACATGTTACGCTTAGAAATAATTTAGAATCTGGTTTTATACTTTGTAAAATGTAAAAATGGTACCAATATGTGGTCTAATGGTACCAATGAGCAAGGCAGTTATTAGAGTACTTTGTATAAAAACCAATTCTAAGCGCTCCTTAAAAAAAAAAAAGGAAAATAAAAACTAATAATCACACCTTTTGAAATTTCCAAAATAGTCCCACCTTTGATAGGATCTTCCATTAACAATTCAAAAGGTGGGATTGTTTTCGGAATTTCAAAAGGTGAGATTGTTTTTGGAAGACACACTAAAGGCGGAATTATTAGTTTTCATATTTCCAAAAAAAAAAAAGAAAACAATTCTAAACGGATGGTTGAAGCATATGATTACTTTTCATAGCAACCACAAGTACGGGTGTTCGCAGTGCGGTTTGGATCCAAAACCGCACCAAATCGCAAAATTGTGGTTTGTATTTTTTTTCAACCCGCACCAAACCGCACTTCTAACCAAACCGCATTTTGCGGTATGATTTGGTACGGTGCAGTTTAACCATATTTCTTAAAAAATTATAATTATTTTTTGAAAACAAAACTTTTATTTTATTTTTGTAATCATTAATTTATAATTCAAATGTTAAACTCTTTTTTTAAACCTTTAATTAGCTAATAGTCAAAGATTAGCTCATATAGTCATATATTTTACTACCTTCGTTTCATATTTTTTGCAACTTTGGGGTATTATTTGTGAGATATAAAATATTCCAAAGTTGCAAAAAAATATGAAACGGAGGTAGTTTTATATTTTTTTTAATAAAAATATAGTACTCCGTATAAAAACTGTAAACCGCATTAAAGGGCAGTTTGGTCTAAATTTTTTTGAAACCGCAGCAAACCGCAAACCGTAGTTTGGTCATTTTTAAAAATCGCACCGCAAATTTCCAACCGCAAACCGTACCAAACCACAAAATTGCGGTTTGGTGCGGTGTAAACCGCACACTGTACATCCCTAACCACAAGTGTGAGGGTGAGAAATAGCTCAAATGGTTAAAATATTAATAATCTAAAAAAATCTAGGACTAAGCCTATTCTATGTCAAACGAAATATCTAGAAGTAAACTAACCTAAGAAAAATCTAGACTATAACTAATCTAAGCTAGAACCTAGATAATTCTAGAGCATGCATAGGAAAGCTATAATGTAAGTCGGTGAACATGCATTAACCGACATACATGCAACTATAAATATGCTATGATGTAGTTGTGATGTAAGAAACTAAGCAATGTAATTTACCCATGCAACAATAAAGCCATTACACTTACTATCATCTCCGTCCTTGTGGCTTTCTAAAAAGAAAAAAAAAATATAGAATAATCTACGCCAAAAATCTTTATAACGGCAAATATTTACTTGTATCTCTTCTACACACGGCTCTAACACTTACTATTTTTTCTCCTAAATTACAATTATACCCTGTATATATTACAGGCTATTCCCGATTTGGAATAGAGCTATATAGTTGGAATTATTGCTAATTATAGTATGAAAGAGTACGATAATTATCAACTTAATGTAAGTTTAACTACATAAAGTGACGGCTGAATACAAGTTAATGAAACTAATTATTGAACTTTGTACAATAGTAGTTTTTCCCAAGAAGATGGATTTAGTCAGCTTTTTAACTTTCTAATATTTCTATGCTTTTCGAGAACATATGTACTTTTCAATAAACGAAATTATTTGATGTTATTTTTTTTTTTGAAAGCCATTTCAAACTTGTCATATCGTTAATTCAAAGCACTCGTTTTGTAATGCTTTGCGAATTTCATAATATAATGAATTTTAATTTCCTAAATAAAGTGACTATTTATATTTGGTCATTGCACATGTAATGATTTAGTATCTAAAGTTACTACACTTCATATTAGAAAAATATTATTATACTTGGTCATTGCACATGTAATATTAATGCACTCGTTAAGAGAATTAAAAAACTCCACATGACTACGTTCTTTCTAATACTCCGTATAATATTGAAAATAAGTCAGAAAATAATTCAAGTTGTAAATTGTTTCAAACAAAAATATTAAAAAGAATCACGGACTAGATGAAATACGAAATTTCATTTTATATAATATTGCGCAATGATAGTATTCAAAAACCGCGCATTTTTTTGTGCAGCTGACTATATTGCGTGGCCGCTTACAATAACACAGAGTAACCCTTATAAAACTAACAAAATAACTCCTATTATACTAACAGAGTAACCCGACCCCTTATTATAATTATTGAGCAATCCTTAAAAAACAACCCCTACAATACTAACAATAGTGATAGAGTATGTAACCTTTATATTACTAACTAAGTAATCCCTATAACCGTAACAAAATATATATTCCTTATAACATTAACCAAGCAATCTGTCCTATGGTGGCAGGCCACACGGTACGGTGTGGCCTATGGCCAGCCACATATTGACATACATATATAAGTTATTGAATTGATAAAAGAAAAAAAAAATCAAGTAATTAATTAGAACTATTTGCATTAAAAATTACGATAAAGCAACTAAGAAAAAATAAAGAGTAAGTAATTAAGAAGAAGGTGTTCAACCGGACTGAACTTTGCACAGATAAACCCGACCCTGGGTTAGTGGGCAAGACTCCTTAGAAGTGGGAGAAAATAATAATGATTAATAATGCCGTATGGGGCTAATTCGGTTATTTTAAAATTACGTAGTAGAACTAGTCATTTAAAAGAATTTGCTAATAATAGTCCGCTATCAACCTGGTATCTGCAGTCTATATAAACCAATGTAAGATCCTTTGCATTCTTCACACTTTCACACCTTCGTTCGTTTATCTTCTCCTCAAAATTAATTCCCATCTTTTTCAAAGCTATTTCCATAGTCTTCAATTCAACCTACCTTGAGAATTAAGGTATGCATTATACGTAAGCTTTAATTTATTTTCCTTATCACTTTTATATACCATACAATTATCTAAAATTTTTGACTAGAGCATAATTAATTTACAAGTATGACATAGCTATGAAATCGTATGATATGACGTTGGTTCTCTAACATAAGCTATACAATCGTATGATAGTTGATTCTCTCTAACATATAAGCTATACAATCGTATGATATGATGTTGGTTGTTGTCTCTATATATGTATATATCAATCGAGCACATTGAAATCGTATGATATGAAGTATATGTTATCTGTATGCATATCGAGCAAGTTATTCAATAATGGATACTATGTTGATTGCATGTGTAGTATTTGTCATTGTAGCAAAGGCTATACATGCTTAATGCTTCACATTGTATATAAATGGACGTTATTGTAGCTAGATTAATGGCAAGTTATAAGAAAGATGGGTGTAGTTCTTGTAGGATTAAACTTAGCTTGTTTTCTAATTAAGCTAGATAGGGATGGATTTACGTACATTTACTCCATTAAGTTCTTTGATTGAAGCTGGTGGCTTTTTAATTACTTCGAATTATATAGGGAAGTTTCATCAAATTTGTGAATTCAATATCAACATGATTTTTTCGTTTTAATTTGTTGACATTTACAAAGTAAAATTTGTCCTTTTTAGAAGAGTTAATGTTTGCATCATTGCATGCATGCAATTTCTTTTTTTTTTTTGTACTTACATCAGCAATGACGGATAATCTAGCTAGGATTCATGCATAGGATGGGCGTAAAAAGTACGGAGTAATAACAAATAAAGTAAAAGAAAAAATCAAACATAAAATAAACATGGTATTTATGAAAGTATAAACCAATAATTCCTCTATCTATTTTTTGTGTAACACTGTAACATATACTAACGTTTAATATATAAAACTGAAGATTAAAGGTTATGATGAGGCAAGTCACGACCAGGGTAAGCCCGCACTTAGCTAGATTTGTCCTTGTCCATAAGTCAAATAGAAAGACTATACTTTTAATAGAAATAGAAGGATTATACAATAATGTTTTTCATATAAACACCGAGTATTCATTTACTTTTCTCTTTTTGCACAATTCTCATAATTTGTAGTGTTTATATATTCAAATATTTTGACTTTTCCCATATAACATAAAATTTCAAAGTTATATGTCGATATATACGTATGTTCTCACACAATCTTTCATGAAAGGAGTGTCTATATATATTACGGAGTATCAATGATATGATGTCGTGGTAGGCTAGTAGCATTATTGGACGCACACAACTCTTGTGTGTTGACATATCTTACACTATTACCAAATATAGTACGCAAGCATGATTGGTACCCCAAACCTGAGAGTTATAAAGTGCAAACACGATATGATGTCATAAATAGGGCTATATATAGGGGTGCTAATGAAACGAGTAGCTTGATCGAGCTCAACTAACTCAACACGACTTATTGAACTCGCTAGCTAATTTCTCTCTATTTAATTTCTCCAAATATTACAGGTGAAAAATGGATTATATAAAAGCTCCTTTCAATGGTATACGAAGCGATGTAAGAGGAAGACTTGCATGTTACAAGCAGGATTGGGTGAATGGTTTCAAACATGGAATTGGGTATGTTCTCTTTTTTTTTTGCTATGTTTTATCAAGTATGTTCAATTGAAACATATATCTAACATATAGGGAAATGTATCACAACAGTATATTTTCCTATTTTCTAAACAATATAATATATATTATTGTTGATATCTTAAAGGATGTCGTATGCTATGTTGTATAAAGAATTTAAATTTGTAATTATTTCGCAAACTAACAACAACTAGTTTATCTTGATTCTATATTCTTGTTTTAACGTTAGATAAACCGTTAAAAATTTATTTAACTTCGAAAAACTTGTTTGGTTGGTCTAATAATTTAATGCCTTTCAATGGCGTAGGATACTTGGCCCCGCTGCCTCTATCTTTTTTGCTTCGGCTCTTCCTGCTATAGCCTTTGGGGAGCTGTTGAACAAGAAAACAGGTTAGTTTGGCTCCTTTAAATATAATCTCTATTAATTTTTTTTTTTGGGTTATTACACATAGTGGTATCACATACAGTAGCGTGAAATACTTATGTACACTGACAAACCTAACATTCAATTAGGTTATACGGACCTAATGGTTATATATATTAAGAGTTTAAGAATAAAGTCTTGTGTGTACAATAGGACACAGATTCAAATCAATGATGAGCATCATTTCAAAGTCATATCGATCATATTTTGTTACAACATTAATATCTTCATTTTGTTTAATAACTTGACAGGGAGAAAAAACCTAAGTTCAGTGCAAACTTTAACTTCAGCAGCAATTTGTGGGCTGATACAGACAATATTTGGTGGACAACCACTTTTAATACAAGGAGTTGCAGAACCAACTGTTCTTATGTATACTTTCTTGTATAATTATGCTAAAAAAAGGGATGATCTTAACCCTTTATTCTTGGCTTGGACAGCATGGTAATTTACGAGACTTATCATATACTATGTATATCTATACACTTATACGTATACATTTATATTGGCAACTTTATACACATTTGAATAATTCAACTCAAATTAATTCCTATACATGATTATGTATTGCAGGGTTTGTGTATGGACATCTCTTTTGTTGCTACTCATGTCAATATTTAATTTGTGCGCTATCATTGATCGAATCACAAGGATAGCCGAAGAACTTATCGAGATGTTGATTTCTGTTCTCTTCATCCAAGAGGCTATCAGGGTACTATATATACTTATGTGTAACCAATCACTCTTATATTTTTCGTTGTGACTAAATGGTCTGTCGTCTTAGCAGGACAACTGTACATGCTTGTTATATTGTTGAGAGGTGATTTAATAATTGATATTCTCTTCACAGGGGATTATAAGCGAGTTTCAAGTTCCCAAGGGAAAGGACGACGAGTCAAACAAGGCATATAATTTCGAGTGGCTGTACGCAAACGGATTGCTAGCAATCTTATTCTCTCTAGGTTTTATTTACACTGCCTTTAAAACTAGAAAAGCAAGGTCATGGTTGTATGGAACAGGTTAGTTCACTAAGAAAATCAGTAAATTTATATACAGTTTACAACTTTACATACTACTTACAGTTTCTTATTATTTGCAGCAAAAGAATTTTATGTCTCACAAATAATACCCCTTTGTTGCAAATAATATGAAATAGAGGTGTTAGTATAAATGAGTCAAAAACACAATTATTAGGAATTAATTAATTTATATTTGTGTTTGCATGCAGGTTTTATAAGAAATTTCATAAAAAATTTTGGGGTTCCTATGATGATATTAGTATGGGCTGGGTTATCATATGCTGTACCTAGCAAAGTTCCCTCTGGAATTCCTAGAAGATTATTTAGTCCTCACCCTTGGGATTCTTGGGATACTTGGACTATTGCCAGTGTACGTAATCTCTTCCTCTTTCGTATATGTTACTTCATCACTGTGAACATTATCACGAGACATTCTGATATTAATATGAGTCACATCATCCATTTAATTTATTATCACCTATCAAATGAGCCGTGAAATTTCTCATTAAGAAATTGGACTAGATAGCTAGTCATAACTAACTAAATGGCCAAAATTAATAATTAGTACTTATGATATGTGTATGGTGACTAGATCTCATAATCATGCAAGCTGCTTTAAATTTTGCAGGAGATGGGGGATGTGCCCACAAAATACATCTTTGGGGCATTCATACCAGGATCAATGGTAGCAATTCTTTTCTTTTTCGAGCACAACGTCGCTTCGAAAATGGCACAACAAAAGGAATTCAATCTTAAACACCCTTCTGCCTACCATTATGACCTCTTTCTACTTGGCTTGATGGTTAGTCACTCGATCTCCTCAAGTAATCTAATACTAGCTAGTTTTCTTTTTACAAAATCGCGCTTATTAGAACTAATAACGATATCATAATGCTTAATACATTGTTATCATCAACAGACTTTGGTTTGTGGGTTGCTTGGACTTCCTCCTTCCTATGCTCTTCTTCCTCATTCTCCTAAGCACATCAAGAGCCTCGCCGTCCTCAAAAGACAGTTTATTCGAAGAAAGATGATCGAAAGTGCCAAAGAAAGCATACATAAAAATGCAAGTAACTCTGAAATTTATGGCAATATGCAAGCTATTTTCCTAGAAATGGAGAGGAACAAATCGGTAAGATTTAATTTGTACACTAGTACTAAAAGGAAGTCTAATTTGCAATAAATTTTGTGATTAATGATTAATAAAAAGTTTTATTTGGCAACAATTTTGTAGATAGATAAAGTGGTTAAAGAGCTAGAAAACTTAAAAGAAGTAGTGATGAAGGGAGAAAGTGATGGGAAAACAACATTTGATCCTGATAAGCACATTGAGAACCACATACCGGTACGAGTTAATGAACAAAGATTGAGCAATCTATTGCAATCTCTTCTCCTTGGAGCTGCAGTTTTCGCGATGCCTGCTCTCAAGCGATTGCCATCTTCGCTTCTTTGGGGGTACATCGCGTACGTCGCTATTGATAGTCTCCCTGGAAACCAGTTCTGGGATAGAATCCGACTTATCTTTGTTAATAAAAGCAGATTACACAGGTGAGTTGTCCTACATTTTTCTTGTACGTGTAGTATTTGAATGTGAACAAAAATTATACTTGTCAATTAAGCTAGTCCGCATATATGACCAATAATGTTTGATTTGTAAATTTTGGCAGGATTTTGGCTAGGAATCATGCTTCGTACGTGGAAACAGTGCCATTTAGATGGATTTTGGCTTTTACACTGTTCCAATTGACATACTTGCTCATTTGTTACGGCATGACTTGGATACCTTTAATTGGAATAATCTTCCCCTTGCCTTTCGTTCTTCTTATAATCATAAGGCAGCTTTTGTTACCCAAAATTTTTGGGTCACACTACTTGCACGAACTCGATTCTCATGAGTATGAAGAAATCCTAGGCACTTCAAGGCGTATACCCCTCTCTTTCAAGGTATGTTCGTAACGTTGTTAAATGTATTAAATTACTTTAAAACTTAATTTTAATACACCCTTAATAAATTTACGCGCACTTAAAAGTAACATTTTAAAGATGATTGTGGGTTGTGTTTAGTCTATATGCCTGTTCGGCTTGGCCCATGGCTAAGGTCACTCGCTATATGCCATGTCATGTTGATGTTTTCGAAAGGTCAGATAGGGTGGCTCATGCACGGGCTAGGAATAAATTTAAACATTACTATTCGTTCACTAGTAATGTTAAAACGAAGTCTTGTTCTCTGTGCCCAATTTTTATGAATATATGAATATTCACCAAGGAATTAAAACTTACAAATTAAAGTATATATTTATTGAATAAGTTATTGTTATGTTCCGAATTATCACTAATTTTTCTTACATAATGTTTATATGATCACTTTCACTGATCGATTACACCTTTTACAAATCAAAACTGAATTCTACCGTTTCAAAGTGAATTGATTTTATAGCATTATTAAAAGTTATCAACACTCCATCATCCATATATGTTTTGCTCACTATAATGCTATTAATACAATAAACAGGAAGATGTTAATACCAATGAAGCCAACAATGGAAATGAAGAAGAAGAAGAAGCAGAAGATGAAATTTCAGATTCTGAATTGTTAGATGAGTTAACAACTCATAGAGGGGAGATAAAGATTAGAAGTGTAAGCCTTCGGCGCTTTCGTAGCGAAAGAAGGGCTCCCATTGCAAGTACAGAGATGGACCCTAGAGCTGCAAGCTTGAGACATGACTTCAAGGTAATTATCATCATCTACATCATATTTGTTATATCTCCTCTTATTAATTTATAATTAACATTATAAGTTATAACCTAAGATATATTTATTATAAATATAACACATATTTACATGTTCTTGTGGTACGGTTGTTAATTAGCATAACATTTTTGTACATGAGCAGATCTTTCCAGAAAATATTGTATAAAAAGCTAAGGAGTGCAAGACAATGGAGATACCCTTGGGCCTTGGCAATGGAGTCATAACCAAAGTTACAATAAATGTTAAACTTAGTTAACTCATCAGTTGAAGTTGTCGAGAGGAAAATGCAACGGTGACTCAGTTGAAGTTGTCAAGAGGAAAATGCAACGGTGTTGCAACGGTGTTTTAAAGTAACAATACACTCACCGAGTCACCGTCTCATTTTGCTTGCTCTATAGTCAGAATTTCCATTTTATTGTCATAGTTACTTGTATTATTTATTTAGGAAAATTTTTATCTTCGTACGTATTACTTTTTTCTCTTGAGTTGGGGCCCACTTTACCCCACTCATTTTTCTTCTGTATTTTTTTTTTTTTTTTTTTACTTTCATAAAATCTTATACGGAGTACAAATGACCATGTAACAAGTAAATTGAGATGAAAGAAGTTGTATATATGACTAAACAAAGTATATATACATACAATTGGTGGTGATGATCTTTTCTTTTATCACTTTATGTATAGGCTTGATTGTAATAATTCCAATAAAGAAACCCTACAAAGGGGCAGGTTTTTTCTTTCAAATTCCTCACACGCCACACGGGATTAGAATTAATTAAAAGGTGTTACCTTAGTTCAAATTTAGTTTTGCAATGGTTAGAATCTAACTATTGACATGCCAATGTTAGGCAAAAGAATTATACTAATATTATCTGGCTCCTTTTTTTTTATTAGGCAGTTAGGCTTAATAAAAGCGTGATTACTCTTTTTATATATATGATTCATTTTTATGATTTGGCTGAGTAGATAAACACGAGTCAACAAATACTGAAAGATTGCTTATTAACCTTTTTTTTTTTTTTTTTTTTTTTTTTTTTTTTTGTTGTATACTTTAATTATTTTTTTTTGAAACAATATACTTCCCTTTTTAAAGTTTTTTTTGAAAAGAAGAAAAGCGATTTTATTAATACGGAGTATAATATAGCCGAACGACACTTACATATAATTCCTAAGAAATCAAGAATTTCAGCACAAGTGCATAACACCTTAAAACTAAATACATCGTAGATTTGATCAACAATTGCCTTAATAAAAAACTTCATCTGAAGCAATACAATCTGTGAGTTAGTACTAATTCGACAGCATAGATGGAAAGAAAAGGGAGAAAAGTGAAGGAAAACAGAAAAAACCTAGCTAGCAATGGAGGTTAGAAAAACCCTATAAAAAACCTAGCTAGCAATGGAGGCTAGGAAAACCCTTCCAAGGGAGAAACCTAGAGGGAACTAAGAAAACCCTTCGAAGGAGAAAACCTAAGCCATAAGAGGGAACTCTCTACTTATCTTTGTCTCGATTTTGGGCAGCTATTATTACCATTTTCTTTGCCTATCAATAAGAGAATATTATGTGTTTCAAAAAAAAAGAAAAAACAAAATTCAATCAGCAACAAAGGCAATACAAATTACAAATTAAGGTTTTTTCTAAAAAAAAAAAAAATAAATAAATTACAAATTAAGGTACGAAAATTTTAAACCCGTAACCTCGTATACAGACCCTTACTCTTGACTATTAAGTCAAAGTCAAGATCAGACCTCATTAATTGGTAGCATATATTGAGTTTAGGTGGGCATCACTTCCACCCTTCCATTCACTTATACTTTGTATGATAAAAGTTATTTCTAATTATCTGTTTATAAGTCAAAGAAGATTACTCCTCCACCTTATATTTTATGCATTTTTTTAGAATGGACCTTATATATCATGCTTAGCTAGCTAGATCCTACATGTTGCGCAAAATAATATAAAAAATTATCAAATCAACCAACAAGCTTATTGTTAGAGACTTAGAGATGATGGTGGCTAAAATTCGAAATCAAGTTATCTCCTAAATTATCAATCGTCAATTAATGTTTACCGTTAAACATCCACACGCATAGCATCCATTTTGGACTGTCTTACTTAAAGAATGGTACAAACAAATAAAGCCAAAGGATTAATTTAATTCATTAATTTTTTCAATGATTAAAGTAACTACGTTAGAACTTCGCACGGTTTATATAAATCGATTTTTATAATTTGTACATTTTTTAAAAAAAATAAATAAATATAAAAAAATTATGCACCTTGTTCAAAAATATTTGTAATTTTTATAGTTTTAGATTTTCATCAAAATTAGGATATAATACCTATTCAACGCGCCTAATACATATTTCAATGTAGGAGTCTATTTATTAGTGTGCTATTTACAATTGTTTTATTTTTTAAAGATAAATTGATAGGTTGTAGTTGTAATGTAGAAGTTTCTAATATTCAAATTTCAAAATTGTTAAATATGGTAGGTCCACAAAAAAAATGACATCATCCTTGCATTTAGATGGGAAAAAAATTTATTATGTGAGTGACATGTGGATAATGATGACTTCACCAACGTTTTGTTTTAGTAATAGTTAATAGATACATATAAAGCGTAGTTTTTTTAAAAAAAATTAAAAAAAAAAATTGATGACATCATACAACAAAATGGTAGGAAAATTCTTAATGAGAAAGCGACACATAGGATAGGGAGGGGATGTATAATGTCAGCAATTTTCTGTTTTAGTAATACTTAATAGATTAATAATTTAAAGTTGATAATTTGAATCAAATTTAAGCTTGATTTTCTTTGACGATGTCAATATTTACAGGCATTACCTACTAAAATATAAACATTTTCCCATGTACTTATACAACTAATATACGATCATCTAACATAGTACGTACGTACGTAATTGACATCACATAAACAGCTTATGAATTTAATATTTTTGAATTGATAAGAGGTTCACCGTTTTGAGATGACCATTGATAAGCATCTTATCACATAAATGAGCATGCACTTAGATTTTATAAGTGCACTCTTGCTTATCACATAAATTGGAATAAATCAATTATTAAATGCTACAATGTACTTCATTCCCATCATGCCTTTTGGGCCTAGTGATTTGGGACTTTGATTTGCAACTTTTTATGGGCCTAATTACTCAAAACCTGTTTTTTTGGGTTTGATTATCAAAAAATAAAGCCGACAAATTTATAATAGCAAATAATGAAATAACAAGTTCTAACTTCTAGTGAAGTAATGATAGTGAATAAGTCTTACAAGACCTACAATTTGAATATGGGACATATTTGGTTTGGAATTCGGTTTTTCGATTTTTCAAATCCTAAAACCGAAACCAATCCGCAATATTTATTTTTTTCTCAAACCAAACCGAACCATATTAGAAAAAAAAACCGCACCGCATTTCTAATTCGATTCGATTTGCAGTTTGGTTCGGTTTTAAACCGAATTAGTTTCAACCCTAATCAATATCGTTTGGCTTACTTCTTATTAGTACAGAGTGAGGTTGAAATATGCAATTTAATATGGTCAACAAATACAATCTACTTTATGATGCATGGTATAAAAATTTCAACAAGATCATCCTAATAAGAAAGGAACAAAAAAAAAATCCTTATATTAGCTTGCTGTCTATATCAAGATGAAGTATTCATTGAAATATTGAACTTTTGTAGGAACTCAGCTTCTACAAGAAACAAAATTTTTTTTTTTGACAGAAACAAGAAACAAATTAACGGTATACAAAGTAGGCTGTCAATTGTTATACAAGTAGATTTATTAGTCATTTACATAATTAATTTATCAGGCTTATTTAATTTAGTGGCGGATAATTTTTTTTTTTTTTTTTTTTTTTTTTTTTTTTTTTTTTTTTTTTTTTTTTTTTGGTAAGGCTGCATTAAAAAAATATAAAAATACAATTTAAAAAACAAAAAGTTTTGTATGCATTGATTTACAATAATATTAGTATACATTTAACAAATATTAAGGTATCTTATAGCCAATCTGGGTAACTTTTTGCATGTTTTGGGCAACTTTATGCCCAATACGCTTTTAATACGAGTATAATATATAAACTAGTTTTGTGTCCGGGCAATGTTCAGGTGATTGATAAAATTTTAAGATAATATTTTTACTTGAATGTTAAATACGGTCAATAATTCGTTCTGATAATGTAGGATATTTAGACATACGATATCAGGCTTATATTTATATAATAGTGTACTTTTTGTAGTTTTGTTTGTAAATAAATATCTATTACTTGAAATTATTTTTATTGAACTTAAATTATTTTCACGGAACTAAAAGTATTTTTACCAAACTAAAATTATTTTTACCGATTAAAACTTATTTTTACTGATTTTCTAATATTTTTTAAAAATAAATTAAATAACAATGCATTTTGTATACGGCTAGCCACACCATCTGGCTGGACAAAGTAACCGTACCCCTATAAAACTGATGGAGTAACTCTGTAATACTAAATGAGTAACCTCTAACACTAACCAAGTAATCCTTATCTATAACAATGATTGAGTAACCACTATAATACTGACCAAGTAACCCCTATAGCACTAATGAAGTAACTCTTGTAATAGTTGGTGACACACTTTGGCCTGCTACGTATAAATGTTTGTGATTAAATATATTATAAATGGATCTTATTTTAAAGAACTTTTTAAACGAATTTGATTATGTAAATAGAGTTGAGTTATTGGACATTTATTAAAAGTTATGATTAATTTTGTATATATATAAAATATTAGAATTCTATCGATAATAAAACTCTTACAACAATTTTATCTTAAAAAATCTATCCAAAAATCGCTTACTTAGTATCATATGTGTCACAATAATACATAGTTATATCCTACGTGGCGCGACACTTGGCAAAAAACTAAAATGCCAAGTGTCGTTGTCTCGTGGCCTAGCTACGAGACCGGCTTTATTTATTAGTGATATGATAAGCAACAAACTAAATTGTATAAGGGTAATAATGTAATATAATTATTTTTAAACACTAAGGTTTGCTTTTCTGTTTTCTTCAAAAAAAAAAAAAAAAGGTTTGTTTTTCTGTCATTAAAAGAGTGTTACATTACCAATAAATTGCAATTAACTTTTATTTGGGTTGAAAACTTTAATACATATTGTCATATTAAAGTAACTTTTATTCATTTAAAGATAACTTTTAATTATTTTAGGACAATTTTACAACATATATACTATAATTATTGTATAGCCAATTTTTTATAAAAGTTTGTGTTTACAAACAAAAAGCTGAAAAAGTACTGCTAATCTAAATAATCTTCATTTTTTTTTTCTCTTGGAGATGATAAATGATACGTTATCATACATGTGAGATATATGCAAGACGTACATGTACTTGACCGTACCTTGAATATTTTATTAACCTAATTATACTATACCCATGATTAAGGGATTATGATGTTAATATTGTTGACCTCTACATTTCTTTGATTTAAATGTCAAATTACCATACATCAGACAGACTCCTAGATAAGACATCTTACCAAGCAATGCTTCATTAACACACCAGAACAAATCTACAAGTGGAAAAAAAAAAATTAAAATAAGCCCAATTATTGTTTTTTGATAGAGTATAAAATATATTTCTGGGTCTCAACCATCAGTTTAAGTTTTTGGTTGAGTTGATCCTTTAACATGGTATCAAGAACGGGGGCATAATAGAGTATAAAACATATTCCTGAGCCTCTACTATCAGCTTAAGCTTTTGGTTTAGTTGGTCCTTTTGAGGGGGCATGGTAGAGTATAAAACATATTCCTGAGCCTCTACCATCAGCTTAAACTTTTGGTTGAGTTGGTCCTTTAACATTTTTGTCTATTTTGCTTGATATAATTAAAATTGAGCTGTGTAACTCAGCCGATGTTATTTGCATACCAAAATATTACTTTTTATGTATTAACTGCTTGTTCTCTTAAACTACTTTCGCTCAAACATAACTATTAAAGTCAATGTAACAGGAAAATATATTACGGGTTCGTTCAAATCTCATTCACCCTTCACTTGTAAAGTAGGATCGGATATTCGTTGGGTATATATAGAGAGGCCAATATGTGTTGCATCTACTCTTCAAGTTTAAAGGCTCGTATGCGAGGAGCATAATATAAAAAATATAAAATCAATCCTGAGAGTTTAACCTTTTGCTTAAATTAGTCCATTGATAGTTTTATTATACTAATTCCAAAAGTAAAGTACGAATGAGAACAAGGTGATTGAAAAGAGACGACACCAAAATTTAGCTAAATGAAGACAAAATAATCATGATTTTAACACATCTTGCAGAAGTTTGATGATAAAATAAATAATTGAAATTGTATTCAAAGAAAAAAAAAAAAAAAAAAAAAGAAAAAGATCAACTTGAAACATGAAATTGTACATTACTTCACAAGTCTCCATCTTATCATGACAATACAATATATATAAGACAAATTTGGTTGATTAATCTCACTATAATCGTGATTTAATTTTAGGTGGCTTGTATATAATTAAGATTAAGACGAAGAAACATGGGAGCTAATTTAGTCATTTGATGTGGGATGGTCTATAGTTTATGATTATATTATTAAACTTTGACTTTTACTAAAAGAGGTGGTCATATTACATAAGCTATTACCTCCGTCCCACAACAAACCTGGCCTAAGAGTATATTAAGCATTATTATCACACATTCATAATACCGATCAATTAGTGCTTATCAAAGATGGCCTGACCCGAATTTGGGCGGGTTTTGGGCAGCTTTTGTCGGGCCCGGCCTAGCTCTATTTTTAAAAAAATTTGACAGGCTTGGAAATGCATTTTTGTGTTATTTAGTTCATTTTTTGGCCCGGCTTGAAAAGCCCGTATGACCCGACCATTTTGGGTGGGTTTGGACATGGAATTTTAGGCCGAAAGCTAGGCTCGACCCGCAAAATGGGCTGATATTTTAAGCCTTAGCCCGGCCCAGCCCGCCGATTGATCAGGGTTACGATCAATACATGATAATATCATAAGTTAGTAAACTCATATTAATGTAGACATTTATTTATTAATTAGGATTGTATATATCATAATCACTATAGTAATTAAACCCCTTTTAAATGATTTGATGATTATTAGAAGAAAACTATAGGTTATTCAAAGTTGTTAGCTAGATTGAACAATAACGCATGTCTTGTAAACTAAAGTTGTTAGATTGAATAATAGTGTCTTAGCAAAGCCTTTATAAAATTTTCTCTATTGTGATTGAATTGCCTTATGAATTCTGATCCGTAAGAATTATTTTATACATAGATATTCCGTGTATTTATTGATTATGCACACATGATGTAATGTGGTGCAACATTAGAATAATGTGGTACCGGTGCAACATTAGAATATGTACTTAATCAATGTATGTAATACCTATAATAAGGTAACACTAGATCTAGCTTTATATTTAGCGATATTGTAACATCAAATTCTTCAAAAATTAAATGGTTATACACTAAGGCTAGCTAATAACAAGAACTCTCTTCATTGTATTTTGAAATTATATTATACAGACTACGTAATTACTGAGTAGTTCTAATACATTTCACTAGTAATCATAAAGATTACTCCTACCCTCGTAGTATACTTCCAATGAATATATGGACAATAAACATATGGCAATAACAATTTTATCTAAAAACATAAAGTACTATTCTTGTCTATTATCATGTACGAAGTATATCTTTATCTCATTAACGCTTTTTCTTACTATATTTATCCATTACGCAGTACAAATATGCCGCCCACGTTTCATATAATTAGGGAAAAAAATAGGCACCAAAAAACAAAAAAATTGGATCAAATAATGAATTAGTTGCTTAATCAAGGGCTTAACCATGCAAAACAATACTTAATTATACAACTTAAGTAATTAATAAATTGCAAGTAATTATCATTGACTAATGACAGAAAATCTTTCTGGTGTCCACTAGCTCATTCGTCTTCACTATATATAAAGCAATAATCTTTTGCATTCTTCATAATAACTCACAATTAGTCCCTTAAACTTTAGCTAATCTTCTCCAAATTCACATAAACTTTTGTTAAAATTTCTCATTCGTAGATTATAGCCTTCAACTTCGCTAGTTCTGGCCCAAAGGTACGCTAACTTCTTTAGTAATCATTTCTTAGCAATGTATATACAAGTGTAGATGCGTGGACTTTGCATCTACACACCGTGTTGTGCCTATCATTCCTTTCAAGTTTAAATTTCGTACTCAACCGATAAATGTTGAACTCCAAGCACATCCTTACTTAAAGTTGAATAATTTCTAACATGTAGGATTTGTTGACCTAGCAATTAAAAAAAAATGAGATGTTTGCGAAGCTTTAGACGTTTATAACTCGCTTGCATAAAACTCATGAGCTAGACTAACTATATTTTCTTGCACTTGTACTTGCTCATCATATATAACGACGAACATTATTGAATACTTTATTACTTTGATTTATCTTACAAACTAGTTTATCTTCATATTTCATGAATTATATTACAGGCGAAATATGGATAATATAAAGGCTCCCTTTAGGGGAATTACAAGTGATATACGAGGAAGACTTTCGTGTTATAAACAAGATTGGACGAATGGTTTCAAATATGGAGTTGGGTATGGCTTTAATTTGTTGCAAATCTAACTTATTAATCTTGTTTAATTTACTTAATTAATTACTTAATTAATCTAATTGTGCTTCTAAATGTATTATAGGATACTTACACCCGCTGCCTCCATCTTTTTTGCTTCGGCTCTTCCTGCTATAGCCTTTGGAGAGCTTTTGAAAAAGAAAACAGGTTTGGTTTCTCTCATCTTATAAATTTGTGTAATAAATTAGGTCACCATACCCTAGATTCCTAGTATTGTACGGAATAATGTAAAACGGAGCATAATAATTATGTAATGATGATAAGGCTTTACTATTAATACAACTTCATGTGTCGTTTGATGTTATTAAATGTTTAGTGTTCGTTTCTATATTGTCATAATAATACGAATGTGAATAATTTGATAGGTGGAAGCCTGGGCTCAGTGCAAACTATATCATCGGCAGCAATTTGTGGTGTGTTACAATCAGTAATTGGTGGACAACCGCTTTTAATACAAGGAGTTGCAGAACCAACTGTTCTTATGTATACGTTCTTGTACAATTTTGCTAAACAAAAGGATGATCTTAAACCTCTATTCTTGGCTTGGACCGCATGGTAATTTTACTCAAATATACGTAACTACGTGTTAGATTAATTGGAAATCATGTGAAAGTTATAAAATTGCGGTAGCATCAACTCTTTTTTTTTTTTACTTTGTCACTGTATGACTTTGACCGTACTTATATCTTTGATTATTCATGGTTAAACAAGAGTATATTAATAGTGTCATGTGTCAAAATGAACAGTGATCGAATTTGTGCTAACATATCGACCTTTGATTATATGTTGTAGGGTTTGTGTATGGGCATCGGTTTTACTGGTGCTAATGGCAATTTTTAACGCGTGTGTTATCATTGACCGATTTACAAGGATAGCTGAAGAATTTATTGAAATGTTAATAGCTGTTCTTTTCATCCAAGAGGCTATCAAGGTATTATACAAGTCAACAAACTACGAAATTTAAAAATTGGAAATTAATACGAGTACTTTGATATTAATAATATACAAAGTATATAATTAGCCTCTAAGCTTGATAGATCTAATTATCACAGGGGATCATAAGTGAGTTTCATGTACCCAAAGGGAAGGATGTAGATGATATTAAAGCATACGAAGTCGAGTGGCTTTACTCCAATGGATTGCTCGCGGTCATATTCTCTTTAGGGTTTATCTATACTGCCTTCAAAAGTAGAAATGCAAGATCATGGTGGTATGGAACAGGTTAGTTAACTGAAATCAGTTGCTTTAACATTAATTAATTGTCCACTTAACAAAATTTAATAAACAAGCAAGCTAAGTGATAATTATTGATACTAAATATATAGGCAGGTGCAAGTCTTGGATGTCTCACATAAATTTGTTGTTGTTGATTTTTTGTACATACATCAATTCAATGTCATAAACGTACTAATTTTGGCTGATTTTTGTTCAGGCTGTATTAGAAATTTTATTGCGAATTTTGGGGTTCCTTTGATAGTATTGGGATGGACAGCATTGTCATATGGTGTACCTAGCAAAGTTCCTTCAGAAGTTCCTAGAAGGTTATTTAGTCCTCATCCTTGGGATACAGACTCGTTGCACCCTTGGACTATTGCTAAGGTAAACTTGATTTTACTCCAATTCAAGGTCACTCAATTCGAACTACGAGTAGATAGCTTGGAAATTTATTCTAAGATAAACTTATTTTAGTTTACCTAATTTATAGAGACTGCATATATTTTGCAGAAAATGGGGGATGTGCCTCGAATATATATAGCAGGGGCCTTCATACCGGGATTAATGGTAGCAGGACTATTCTTTTTCGAGCAAAATGTGGCTTCGAAGATGACACAACAGCGAGATTTCAATCTTAAGAACCCTTCTTCTTACCACTATGACATCTTTATTCTTGGCTTAATGGTTTGTCACTAACTCATACATTATGTCTAAAGTTTTTTTTCCTAGAAGGAACATATTTATATAGTCTTCTTGATTATTACTAATATTAGTGTAATGTTTTAAACAGACTTTGGTTTGTGGGTTACTTGGACTTCCTCCTTCCTATGCCCTTATTCCACATTCTCCTATGCACACTAAGGCACTTGCCGTCCTCAAAAGACAGTTTCTTCGAAGAAAGATGGTCGAAAGTGCCAAAGCAAGCATACATGAACGGGCTAGCAGCACTGAAATTTATGGCAATATGCAAGCAATTTTCCTTCAAATGGACATGAACAAGTTGGTAAGTTTTGCACTACTAAATTTTCATTAATTGCAATTTTCGCTGCTAGCTAGCATATGTAGTATATACATAGTTCATACCAAAGAGTAGGTCTAAGATCTTACTCGTATAAGTAGAAATTAAATGATTTAGAGCCATACAAAACTAATTACTACTTTCGTTTCTTATTCTTTGCAACAAAGGGGTATTACTTGCGAGACATAAAATATTCCTTTGTTGCAAATAATAAGAAACAGAGGTAGTACATTAAAAAAAAAAAAAAAAAAACCAACGGTTTTGCTAGTGTAGTATACACGTGCATTTGAGAAACACACTAGCACGACACTATATCTTTTAGGTATTTCCAAGTGCATGTAACACATGAAAATAATCTAATGTCATCTTTGGGTTTTATTTGTAGACAAATGGAGTGGTTAAGGAGCTTGAAGACTTAAAACAAGTAGTGATGAAAGGAGAGATTGATGAGAAAAATGGGAATGCAACATTTGACCCCGAGAAGCACATCGAGAACTACTTACCGGTGCGTGTTAACGAGCAAAGATTGAGCAATCTAATACAATCCCTTCTCCTCGCGATTTCTGTTTTTGCGATGCCTGCCCTAAAGCGAATTCCATCTTCACTTCTTTGGGGGTACTTAGCGTATATGGCCTTTGATAGTCTCCCCGGTAACCAGTTTTGGGAAAGAATCATACTACTACTTGTCAATAAAAGTAGATTACACAAGTAAGTCCTACTTAGATTATAAAATCAATCAGTCAATCAATCAATCAAAACCTTAATCTCATAAGTGGGGTCGGTTACATGAACCTAAAGTGATTATTGCGTATAGTCTTCCACAAAAAAAATTGCCTCATCAACGTACAATTTTGACTTGTGAACACGCTTAATCCTAATATCTAGCACTTGTGCTAGAGAAATGTAACAAATTAGGAAGGGTTAAAGTTTATTTCTCTATGATCATAAGTACTGATTAGTGTGTTGTATATGTTAATTGGCAGGGTTTTGCAAAGGAATCACGCTTCCTATGTGGAAACAGTGCCATTCAAATGTATCGCGGCATTTACTATATTCCAATTAACATACTTGATCATTTGTTATGGCATGACATGGATACCCTTAGTAGGAATAATCTTTCCTTTGCCATTTTTTCTTCTTATAATTATAAGACACCTTATATTAACAAGGTATTTTGAGCCACATTACTTGCACGAACTCGATGCTCACGAATACGAGGAAGTCCTAGGGAATTCAAGGCGTTCTTTCCGTCGTATGTCATTCTCTTTTAAGGTACTATACTATAGTGTTATCAAACGTTATCATACACACGTATATATGTACGAATATATATTTTAATAAGCACGTAATAATTATGTTGTTAATATTATGAACAGGAAAATGGGACGCCAATTCACAGCATTTTTGACAATGAAGAAGAAATGGAAGAAGAATTTTCTGATTCAGAAGTTTTGGATGAGTTAACAACTCATAGAGGAGAGCTAAAGATTAGAACTATGAGCTTTCGTAGTGAAAGATGGGCTTCGAGTGGTAGGAAAGAAGTGAAGCCCAGAGCTATGAGCTTCCGACATGACTTACCTTTTAAGGTATGTACGAAGGAGTTAAGTACTCTCCTTGTCTCTAAATAATACTACGAGTAATATTCTGTATAAGCTTTAAGTGGCTGATAGTATATATAATATTTGCGCACAGGTTCATCCGGAAGACATTGTATGATTGAAAGAAGAAGAATTTTTAGAAGTACAATCTTGACAAGGGTAAACAATATTGATGATCATGACGACAATGAAAAGTTGAAAAAAATTGATAGCCTAAGTTGAAGTTCCGGGAAACTAATGAAATTTGTTATACGTAGTACATGTAAATAAATTGTATCAATTCTTTTGGTTTGAAATAACACAAAATGTGTTACAATCTAATATCATATTATATCACTAATATATAAAGCCGGTCTCGCAGCCAGGTCAGGAGACATCGACACTTGGCATTCCAGTTCTTTGCCAAGTGTCGCGCCACGTTGGAAATAAATAGGTATTAAGTTTAGATATTATATCACTAATATATACAATCAGTCTCGCAGTCAGGACACGAGACAGCGACACTTGACATTCCAATTTTTCGCCAAATGTCTCGCCACGTAGGAGATAAATAGGTATTATTGTGACACATATGATGCTAAGTAAACGATTTTTGGATAGAATTCTTAAGATGAAATTGTTGTATAGAGTTTTATTATTGATAAAATTCTAATATTTCATATATACAAAATTAATCATAACTTTTAATAAATATCGTATAACTCAATTTTATTTCCATCATCAAATTAATGCTATAATAGTATATTTGATCACAAACTTTTATACGTAGCTAGCAAAACCGTGTCACCAATTATAACAAGAGTTACTTCGTTAGTGCTATAGGGGTTACTTGGTAAGTGTTATAGACTTATAGTGGTTACTCAATTATATTAGTGTTATTGATAAGGGTTACTTAGTCAATCTTAGAGGGGTTACTTTATCCGGCCAGGTTGTGTGGCTAGTCGCATACAAAATGCATCGTTATTTAATTTATTTTAAAAAAATATTAGAGAATTGATAAAATAAGTTTTAATCAGTAAAAATTATTTTAGTTTGGTAAAAATACTTTTAGTTTAGTGAAAATAATTTAAGTTCAATAAAAATAATTTTAAGTTAATAATAATATAGATATATATTTACAAACAAAGAATTATTTGACCGTATTTAACATTCAACTAAAAATGATATCTTAAAATTCTATCAACCATCTGGACATCGCCCGGGCACAAAACTAGTATATATTTAAGATAAAAAAAAGTTGTATAGAGTTTTAATATCGATATGTATTGTTGTGACACATATTATGATGCTAAGTAAACGAATTTTAGATAGATTTTTTAAGATAAAATCGTAGTATAGAGTTTTATTATCGATAAAATTCTAATATTTCATATATACAAAATTAATCATAACTTTTAATAAATATCCTATAACTCCATTTTATTTCAATCATCAAATTCATTTTAAAAACTTCTTTAAAATAACATCCATTTATAATAGTATATTTGATCACAAACTTTTATACGTAGCTAGCAAAATCGTGTCACCAATTATTACATGAGTTACTTCGTTAGTGCTATAGGGGTTACTTGGTAAGTGTTATAGACTTATAGTGGTTACTCAATTATATTAGTGTTATAGATAGGGATTGCTTAGTCAGTCTTAGAGGGGTTACTTTATCCGGCCAGGTGGTGTGGCTAGCCGCATACAAAATGCATCGTTATTTAATTTATTTTAAAATTATTAGAGAATCGGTAAAAATAAGTTTTAATCAGTAAAAATAATTTTAGTTTGGTAAAAATACTTTTAGTTTAGTGAAAATAATATAAGTTCAATAAAAATAATTTTAAGTTAATAATAATATAGATATCTATATACAAATAAAGAATATTTGACCGTATTTAACATTCAACTAAAAATGTTATTTTAAAATTTTATCCACCATCTAGGCATCGCCCGGGCACAAAACTAGTATATATTTAAAGATAAAAAAAAGTTGTATAGAGTTTTAATATCGATAAGTATTATTGTGAGACATATTATGATGCTAAGTAAACGAATTTTAGATAGATTTTCTAAATTGTTGTATAGAGTTTTATTGTCAATATATTTCTAATATTTCTTGTTTACAAAATTAACCATAACTTTTAATAAATATCCTATAACTCGATTCTTTTTCCATCATAAAATTCGTTTTAAAAACTTATTTAAAATAACATCCATTTATAACATACTAGATGAAGCCCGTGCGATGCACGGTTTGTTTGTTTTTTTTCAAATAAAATATTCTACTAATTATATATTTATCTCCTAAACTTTGTGATATTCGTTTGCATAATACTTGAATTTTTTAATTTTATTTCACAAAGTTGCATATGTGGCTGGTCACATCGTGTGCTCAGGATTACTTGGTCAGGGGTTATTCGGTAGGTCAAGGGATATTCGATTAGGAGTTACTCGGACAGTGAGGGGTTACCCGGTTAGTGTTTTAGTATATCACAACCGGCCACACGATATGACCAGCCACATGGAAAATGTGCTGATTTTATAATTATAATTAATATAAATTTTAGATCTGAAATAAATTGCAATTTTTTTTCATTGGCTAAAATTTAATATTTTCTATGTGATGCTCAAAAATGTCTTGAAAAACTCTCATTTATTTAATTTTTGTAAAATTTTATTATAACCATTAATCACCCAAATAAATTATTTAATTTTATTCATGATAATTTTTTAAAAATAATAATCTTATGTGTCGCTCTGATAAATTTTTAATTTATTATTATAATCCTACGTAATGTTTTAAATAAAAACTTGTATATATATAAAGGGGAGTTTTTTCCCAATATTTTAAAGAGCCACCTAGGATTTTCATTTTTAAAAAATTATTAGAGCGCCATGTAAGATTAGTATGTTTAGAGCGTTACTTATAGGATTATGCCACGTATGATTGTTATTTTAAAACGCCAAGTAAAATTAAAATTAAAATTTTTAATTTATTATAAAAATAAAATACTATCTTTTTAAATTGGAAATTTTGTCTAAGAGAAAAGAAACAATTTATTTTACTTTATATATATTAAAAAAATAAAACTTAAAAACAATGAAATTCACGTTCAATTGATATTTAAAAAAAAAAATTGGATTAGATAAAACAAAATAATGAAAATATGACAAGTGATTATAATAAAATATTTTATAAAATTACACTAATAAAAAAAAATCACGTTAAATCATATAAAGGGGAGTTTTTTCCCAAGATTTTAGAGAGCCACCTAGAATTTTGATTTTAAAAAAATTATTAGAGCGCCATGTAGGATTAGTATTTTAAGAGCGTTACATATAGTATTATGCCACGTAGGATTGTTATTTTAAAGCACCTCGTAAGATTAAAATTAAAAAACTAAATTTATTATAAAAATAAAATACTATCTTTTTAAATTAGGAATTTTATCTAAGAGAACATAACAACTTATTTTATTTCGTATATATAAAAAAAATACTATTAACTTAAAAAAAAAAAAGGAATTCATGTTCATTTGATATTTAAAAAAAATTGGATTAGTTAAAAAAAAATAATGAAAATATGACAAGTGATTATAATAAAATATTTTATAAAAATATACTAATAAAAAAATGAAATCACATTTAATTAAAAAAAAATATCAGTTTTCTCTCTCAAAAAAAAAAAAAAAAAAATCATTGAAATTAAAAATATATCCTTTCACTTTTTCTAGAAAAAAAAAATAATGTTTATCATTTATTCGTCCTAAAATTAAGTTTTATGTTAACAAAATAAAATTGGCGAATGAAATTTTAAAGTTTAAACTAATAAATATAAAATATTATCTTTTGATATTAGGAATTTCATCTAAATATATAAAGAATGAGAGAAAATTCACTATTATTTTAAAATAAATAAAATAAAAATATTAAATGATAATATGATATACTACGTACAATGAATAAATAAAGTAACAAATTTTATCACAAACATAGGAAAAAAATATATGTTTTAAAAAAATACAAATAAATTGTGCATCGCACGAGCTTCATCTAGTATTATTTAAGATCAGTATATCGGTAAATTTGTTTCTTATTATTAATTTGTTATTAAAAAATTTAAATTAAAATTTCAATAGCAATCCCACGCTTAAAAGTGAAATTTCTATAAACCCTTGAAAATGAGATCTTGACTTGAGTATTTAGGATCGGATCTGTTTTCAACTCTAATTTTAATTGCGTAACTATGACTAGTCTTTGATTTTGTTTGACATAGTCTAGTTTTGATTTTGTTAAGTCGACTCGAGTATTTGGGATCGGATTTATTTTGTCAAGTCTAGTTTTGATTGTGTAACTATGATTAGTCTTTGATTTCGTTTGACATAGTCCAGTTATGAATTATGATTGTGTTAGGTTGATGTATGCTGTCCAAACAAATAAAAATTGACGTAAAACGAAACATTGATAATATAGCAATAGAGTCAATTTTTTTCTTGGGCCTGGACGTCATAGACTTGGGCCGATAGTACTCATTAACTGCAACCCAAACTTTCTTATCTTTACAATTTACAAACATTGCATCTATTAAAGCCCACTTTTGAGTATTATCGTCCTTAATTTAACACCAAACTAATAGAGCATACATAACCAAACATTATTAAATCTCTAGCTCTAAACTACAATTGTCATGTGTCTAACGTTCAATGAATGATTTGCATTGTTGACTTGTAGTAGACACTATGGATGTTGATAGTTACATATCGATATTAGTTGTACTCGTACTATTTCGAACTACATTTAAGAGTTAACACGCTTTTTCATTTCATCATTTCTTTAAACAATTGTATATTAGCTAATTATGCTTTCTGATGCCTCATTTCTATTACAAGCTTTTACGTTATTATTTGTACCAAGATTTGTCACAGTATGTGAATTAAATATGTTCTCTTGCTTGCTCAATTGCAAATGGAAGGATTTTCAGTAATATTCAATATTTGTATATATGCCAAAAAAATCAATGATTTTGATCAAAATTTAACCGTGAATAAAACATTATTATAGTCATAACAAAACTATCCGTTTAAATTCATATTAATCTCCTGATCATATTGTACTATTTTTTATACTTCCTCCGTTCTTTTTTTATTGCATCATAGGGGTTTTGGAGGCAAAATTTGGTAGTGGAAAAAAGTAAGAGAGAGAAACGTAAAAATACAAAATTGTCCATGTAATGTAAAGATAAAATAAAAAGTAAGTGTGAAAAAGTAATGGTATGTTGGGTATTTCCAGTGTGAAC